AAGTGAATAAGACTGGGGCGGTGATAAAAATGGTAGAATGGTCGGAACTGTTAAAAATCATTTTCAGTATAATACTGCAACCCCACAAATAAGTCCCTGAAATGCAATGAAGTTCAATGCTGACCAGGAAACATATCGTGAGGTATCAATGGAGTGAAAAGGCGGTATCACTTTTTTCAATATCAGGCATGGAAATTGAAAGTATCGTCGAATTTAGTACAATAAACGCGTTGCAATTTTCGCGTATCAGGGAGTTTTGCCACGATTTCAACATCGGTAATTTCATCATGAACCGTGGAATTCCAGTGGTGTTTGAGTCCCTGGTATTTCACGTACCACGGAATTTCGGGGAAGAGAAAACACTCGAAACTTCACGTATCGTGGAATTTCATCGCATTCTACGGAATAGAATCTTCACGTGTCGTGAACGTTTGGAGTATAAATTAGGACAACACAATCCGTAGCGCGGAATTTTAGTGAAAATGAAAGGCAAAATTTGTAGCGTTCATCAACGGCACTCCATGATTCTCGGCAAATCTAGAAAAATAAGGACGTTTACAGGTCTTGACACGCCGAGTTTCAATGACGTGTCCGGATATCGGATATTCCATGCCGCGGAAAAAGTTCGATTCAGGAAAAATACGAGTCCTGATACTCAATGTATACGCTGCGTGTCCGGAACCCGATACCTCTCCATACTCCCGTCTTTCTCAAGAATACGGGTTCGTATCGACTAATATCGGGACCATGACACAACTCATTTCACACAGTGTAGAATCTTAAAATCGGCGAAAATATTAAATTCCACAAAAATCTTGAATTGGGGATTTTGGAAAGCTAAAATCTTGAAATTAGCCAAAAACTTGAATTCAGGATTTTGGAAAGCTAAAATCTTGAAAACGTCCAAAACTTAAATTGACGTTTTTGGAACCCTAAAATCTTGAAATCGGCCAAAATCTTGCATTTAGGATTTTGGAAAGCATAAACCTTGTTATCTGCCAAACTCTTGAATTCAGGATTTTCGAAAGCTAAAATCTTAAAATTGGCCAAAATTTTGAATTCAGGATTATGGAAACATAAAATCTGGAAATCCGCCAAAATCTTAAATTGGGGATTTTGAAAAGCTAGGATCTTAAAATCGGCCAAAATCTTGAATTCATGATTTTGGAAGGCTAAAATCTTAAAATCCGCCAAAATCTTGAATTCAGCATTTTTGAAAGCTAAGATCTTGAAATCGGTCAAAATCTTGGATTCAGGATTTTGGAAAGCTACAATCTTGAAATTAGGATTTTGGAAAGCTAAAATCTTGAAATCCTCCAAATTCTTCAATTAAGGATTTTGGAAAGCGGAAATCTAGAAATCGGCAAAAATCTTGAATTGAGGATTTTGGAAAGCGAAAATCTAGAAATCGGCCAAGATCTTGAATTTAGGATTTTGGAAAGCTAAAATATTGAAATCCTCCAAATTCTTCAATTAAGGATTTTGGAAAGGGGAAATCTAGAAATCGGCAAAAATCTTGAATTGAGGATTTTGGAAAGCGAAAATCTAGAAATCGGCCTAAATCTTAAATTGAGGATTTTGGAAAGCTAAAATCTTCAAATCGGCCAAAAAGTTGAATTCAGGATTATGGAAAGCTAAAATCTTGAAATCGGTCAAAATCTTGAGTTCAGGATTTTGGAAAGCTAAAATCTTGAAATGCGCCAAAATCTTGAATTCAGCATTTTAGAAAGCTAAGATCTTGAAATCGGTCAAAATCTTGGATTCAGGATTTTGGAAAGCTAAAATCTTGAAATCCGCCAAAATCTTGAATTCAGGATTTTGGAAAGCTAAGATCTTAAAATCGGCCAAAACCTTGAAATTACGATTTAGGAAACCTAAGATCTTGAAATCTGCCAAAATCTTGAATTGAAGTTTTTGGAAAGCTATGATCTTAAAATCCGCCAAAATCTTGAATTCAGGATTTTGAAAAGCTGGAATCTTCAAATGGGCTAGAATGTTGAATTCAGGATTTTGGAAAGCTAGAATCTTGAAATCGAGGAATATATCAAATTCCACAAAAACCTTGAATTGAGGATTTTGGAAAGCTAAAATCTTGAAATTAGCCAAAATCTCGAATTCAGGATTTTGGAAAGCTAAAATCTCGAAATCGGCCAAAATCTTGAATTCAGGATTTTGGAAACCTAAAATCTTGAAATCGGCCAAAATCTTGAATTCAGCATTTTTGAAAGCTAAGATCTTAAAATCGGTCAAAATCTTGGATTCAGGATTTTGGAAAGCTACAATCTTGAAATCGGCCAAGATCTTGAATTTAGGGTTTTGGAAAGCTAAAATCTTGAAATCCTCCAAATTCTTCAATTAAGGATTTTGGAAAGCGGAAATCTAGAAATCGGCAAAAATCTTGAATTGAGGATTTTGGAAAGCAAAAATCTAGAAATCGGCTAAGATCTTGAATTTAGGATTTTGGAAAGCTAAAATCTTGAAATCCTCCGAATTCTTTAATTAACGATTTTGGATAGCGGAAATCTAGAAATCGGCAAAAATCGTGAATTGAGGATTTTGGAAAGCGAAAATCTAGAAATCGGCCTAAATCTTAACTTGAGGATTTTGGAAAGCTAAAACCTTCATATCGGCCAAAAAGTTGAATTCAGGATTATGGAAAGCTAAAATCTTGAAATCGGTCAAAATCTTGAGTTCAGGATTTTGGAAAGCTAAAATCTTGAAATGCGCCAAAATCTTAAATTCAGCATTTTAGAAAGCTAAGATTTTGAAATCGGTCAAAATCTTGGATTCAGGATTTTGGAAAGCTAAAATCTTGAAATCCGGCAAAATCTTGAAGTCAGGATTTTGGAAAGCTAAAATCTTGAAATCGGTCAAAATCTTGAATTCAGGATTTTGGAAAGCTAAAATCTTGAAATGTGCCAAAATCTTAATTTCCGCAAAAATCTTGAATTAAGGATTTTGCAATGCGAAAATCTAGAAATCGGCCAAAATCTAGCTTTTAGGATTTTGGAAAGCATAAACCTTGTTATCTGCCAAACTCTTGAATTCAGGATTTTCGAAAGCTTAAATCTTGAAATAGGCCAAAATCTTGAATTTAGGATTTTGCAAAGCTAAAATCTTAAAATCGGCAAAAATCTTGAATTCAGCATTTTAAAAAGCTAAAATCTTAAAATCCCCCAAAATCTTGAATTGAGGATTTTAAAAAGTTAAAATCTTGAAATCGGCCAAAGTCTTGAATTCAGGATTTTGGAAAGCTAAAATCTTGAAGTCGGTCAAAATTTTAAATTCAGAATTTTGAAAAGCTAAAATCTTGAAATCTGCCATAATGTTGAATTCAGGATTTTGGAAAGCTAAAATCTTGAAATCGGCCACAATGTTGAATTCAGGGTTTTGGAAAGCTAACACCTTAAAATCGGTCAAAATCTTGAATTCTGGATTTTGGAAAGCTAAAATCTTGAAATCGGCCAAAATCTTGAATTCAGGATTTTGGAAAGCTAAAATCTTAAATTCGGCCAAAATCTTTAATTCAGGATTTTGGAAAGCTAAAATCTTGAAAGCCGCCAAATTTTTGAATTAAGGATTTTGCAAAGCTAAAATCTTGAAATCCGCCAAAGTCTTGAATTCAAGATTTTGGAAAGCTAAAATCTTGAAATTAGCCAAAATCTTTAATTCAGGATTTTGAAAAGCTGAAATCTTGAAATCGGCCAAAATCTTGAATTCAGGATTTTGGAAAGCTAAGATCTTGAAATGAGCGAAAATCTTGAAATCGGCAAACATCTTGAATTCAGGATTTTGGAAAGCTAAAATCTTGAATTCCGCCAAAATCTTGAATTCAGGCTTTTGGAAAGCTAAAATCTTGTAATCGGCCAAAATCTTGAATTGAGGATTTTGGAAAGCTAAAATCTTGAAATCGGCCAAAATCTACAAATTGAGGATTTTGGATAGCTAAAATCTTGAAATCTCCCAAAATCTTGAGTTTATGGTTTTGGAAAGCTAAAATCATGAAATTGCCTAAAATTTTGAATTTAGGATTTTGGAAAGGTAAGATCTTGAAGTCGACCAAAATCTAAAATTGAGGATTTTGGAAAGCTAAAATCTTGAAATTGGCCAAAATCTTGAAATCAGGATGTTGCAAGGCTTAAATCTTGAAATCGGCCAAAATCATGAACTCAGGATTTTGGAAAGCTAAAATCTTGAAATCGGCCAAAATCTTAAATTTAGAATTTTGGAAGGCTTAACTCTTGAAATCGTCCAAAATCTTCATTTCAGCATTTTCGAAAGCTAAGATTTTGAAATCGGCCAAAATCTTGAATTCAGGATTTTGGAAAGCTAAAATCTTGAAATCGGCCAAAATCTTGAATTTAAGATTTTCGCAAGCTAAAATCTTGCAATCCGCCAAAATCTTGAGTTCAGGATTTTATAAAGCTAAAATCTTAAAATGGGCCAAAATGTTGATTTCAGGATTTTGGAAAGGTAAGATCTTGAAATCGGTGAAAATCTCTAATTTAGGATTTTGGAAAGCTAAAACCTTGAAATCGGCCAAAATCTTAAATTGAGCATTTTGGAAACCTAAGATCTTGAAATCGGCAAAAATCTGAAATTAAGGACTTTGGAAAGCTAAAATCTTGAAATCGGCCAAAATCTTGAATTTAAGATTTTGGAAGGCTAAAGTCTTGAAATCGTCCAAAATCTTGAATTCAGGATTTTGGAAAGCTCCAATCTTGAAATCCGCAAAAATCTTGAATTCAGCATTTTGGAAAGCTAAAATCTTGATATCCGCCAAAATCTTGAATTCAGGATTTTGGAAAGCTAAGATCTAGAAATCGGCCAAAATCTTGAATTCAGGATTTTCGAAAGCTAAAATCTTCAAATCAGCCAAAATCTTCAATGCAGGATTTTTGAAAGCTAAAACCTTGAAATCTGCCAAAATATTAAATTCCCCAAAAAACATGAATACAGGATTTTAGAAATCTAAAATCTTGAAATCGTCCAAAATCTTGAATTCAGGATTTTGGAAAGCTAAAATCTTAAAATCCGCTAAAACCTTGAATTCAGGATTTTGAAATCTAACATCTTGAAATCACCCAAAATCTTGAAATAGGTCAAAATCTCGAATGGAGGATTTTGGAAATCTAAAATCTTGAAATCGGCCAAAATCTTGAATTCAGGAGTTTGGAGAGCTAAAATCTTGAAATCGGCCTAAATCTTCAATGCAGGATTTTTGAAAGCTAAAACCTTGAAATCTGCCAAAATATTAAATTCCGCCAAAATCATGAATTCAGGATTTTAGAAAGCTAAAATATTGAAAACGGCCAAAATCATGAATTCAAGATTTTGGAAAGCTAAAAGCTTGAAATCGGCCAAAATCTTGGATTCAGGATTTTGCAAGGTAAAATCTTAAAGTCGGCCAAAATCTTTAAGTTAGGATTTTGGAAAGCGAAAATCTTGAAATCGGTCCAAAATCTTGAATTCAGGATTTTGGAAAGCTAAAATCTTGAAATCCACAAAAAATTTTGAATTCAGGATTTTGGAAAGCCAAGATCTTGAAATCGGCCAAAATCTTGAATTTAGGATTTTGGAAAGCTAAAATCTTGAAATCGGCCAAAATCTTGAATTTAGGATTTTAGAAAGCAAAAATCTTGAAATGGGACAACGTCTTGACTTCAGGATTTAGCAAAGCTAAAATGTTGAAATCCGCCAAAGTCTTGCATTCAGGATTTTGGAAAGCTAAAATCTTGAAATCGACGAAAATCTTGAATTCAGGATTTTAGAAAGCTAAAATCTTGAAATTAGCCGAAATCTTGAATTCAGGATTTTGGAAAGCTAAGATCTAGAAATCGGCCAAAATCTTGAATTCAGGATTTTCGAAAGCTAAAATCTTCAAATCAGCCAAAATCTTCAATGCAGGATTTTTGAAAGCTAAAACCTTGAAATCTGCCAAAATATTAAATTCCCCAAAAAACATGAATTCAGGATTTTAGAAATCTAAAATCTTGAAATCGTCCAAAATCTTGAATTCAGGATTTTGGAAAGCTAAAATCTTAAAATCCGCTAAAACCTTGAATTCAGGATTTTGAAATCTAACATCTTGAAATCACCCAAAATCTTGAAATAGGTCAAAATCTCGAATGGAGGATTTTGGAAATCTAAAATCTTGAAATCGGCCAAAATCTTGAATTCAGGAGTTTGGAGAGCTAAAATCTTGAAATCGGCCTAAATCTTCAATGCAGGATTTTTGAAAGCTAAAACCTTGAAATCTGCCAAAATATTAAATTCCGCCAAAATCATGAATTCAGGATTTTAGAAAGCTAAAATATTGAAAACGGCCAAAATCATGAATTCAAGATTTTGGAAAGCTAAAAGCTTGAAATCGGCCAAAATCTTGGATTCAGGATTTTGCAAGGTAAAATCTTAAAGTCGGCCAAAATCTTTAAGTTAGGATTTTGGAAAGCGAAAATCTTGAAATCGGTCCAAAATCTTGAATTCAGGATTTTGGAAAGCTACAATACTCAAATCGGCCATAATCTTGAATTCAGGATTGGGCAAGGCTAAAATCTTGAAATCGGCCAAAATCTTGAATTCATGATTTTGGAAGACTATAATCTTGAAATCTGCAAAATTCCGAATTCAAGATTTTGGAAAGCTAAGATCTTAAAATCCGCCAAAATCTTGCATTTAGGATTTTGGAAAGCTAAAATCTCGAAATCGGCTAAAATCTTGAATTAAGGATTTTGGAAAGGTAAAATCTCGAAATCGGCAAAATCTACAAATTGAGGATTTTGGATAGCAAAAATATTGAATTGTCCCAAAATCTTGAGTTCATGCTTTTGGAAAGCTTAAATCTTCAAGTCGGCCAAAATCTTGAATTCACGATTTTGGAAAGCTAAGATCTCGAAATCGGCCAAAATCTTGAATTAAGGATTTTGGAAAGCCAAAATCTTGAAATCAGCCAAAATCTTAAATTTAGGATTTTGGAAAGCTAAAATCTTGAAAACGGCCAAAATCTTGAGTATAGGGTTTTGAAAACGTGAAATCTTGAAAACGGCCAAATTCTTGAATTCAGGATTTTGGAAAGCTAAAACCTTGCAATCGGCCCAAATCTTAAATTCAGGATTTTGGAAAGCTAAAATCATGAAAACGGCCAAAATCTTGAGTTTAGGATTTGGGAAAGCTAAAATCTTGAAATCGGCCAAAATCTTAAATTTAGGATTTTGGAAGGCTTAAGTCTTGAAATCGGTCAAAATCTTGAATTCAGGATTTTGGAAAGCTAAAATCTTGAAATCCGCCAAAATCTTGAATTCAGGATTTTGGAAAGCTAAGATCTTCAAATCGGCCAAAATCTTGAATTTAGGATTTTGGATAGCTACAATCTTCAAATCGGCCTTAATCTTGAATTCAGGATTTGGGAAAGCTAACATCTTGAAATCGGTCAAAATCTTGAATTCAGGATTTTGGAAAGCTAAAATCTTGAAATTAGGCAAAATCTTGAAGTCAGGATTTTGGAAAGCTGAAATCTTGAACTCGACCAAGATCTTAAAATAAGAATGTTGGAAAGCTTAAATCTTGAAATCGGCCAAAATCTTAAATTCAGGATTTTGGAAAGCTAAAATCTTGAAATCTGCCAAAATCTTGAATTCAGGATTTTGGAAAGATAAAATCTTCAAATCCGCCAAAATCTTGAATTCACCATTTTAGAAAGTTAAGATCTTGAAATCGGTCAATATCTTGGATTTAGGATTTTGGAAAGCTAAAATCTTGAAAACGGCCAAATTATTGAATTCAGGATTTTGAAAAGCTAAAATCTTGAAATCGACCAAAATCTTGAATTGAGCATTTTGGAAAGCTAAGATCTTCAAATCGGCCATAATCTTGAATTCAGGATTAAGGAAGGCTAAAATCTTGAAATCGGCCAAAATCTTGAATTCATGATTTTGGAAGGCTATAATCTTGAAATCCGCAAAATTCTGAAATCAAGATTTTGGAAAGCTAAGATCTTAAAATCCGCCAAAATCTTGAATTCAGGATTTTGGAAAGCTAAAATCTTGAAATCGGCCAAAATCTACAAATTGATGATTTTGTATACCAAAAATCTTGACTTCTCCCACAATCTTGAGTTCAGACTTTTGGAAAGCTAAAATCTTGAATTCACGATTTTGAAAAGCTAAGATCTTGAAGTCGACCAAAATCTATAATTCAGGATTTTGGAAAGCTAAAGTCTTGAAATTGTCCAAAATCTTAAATTTAGGATTTGGGCAAGCTAAAATCTTGAAATCCGCCAAAATATTGAGTTCACGATTTTAGAAAGCTAAGATCTTTAAATCAGTCAAAATCTAGAATTCAGGATTTTGGAAAGCGAAAATCTTGAAATCGGCCAAAATCTTGAGTTCAGGCTTTTGGAGAGCTAAAATCTTGAAAACGGCCAAGTTATTGAATTCAGGATTTTGAAAAGCTAAAATCTTGAAATCGACCAAAATCTTGAATTGAGCATTTTGGAAAGCTAAGATCTTCAAATCGGCCAAAATCTTTAATGCAGGATTTTTTAAAGCTAAAACTTGAAATCTGCCAAAATATTAAATTCCGCCAAAATCATGAATTCAGGATTTTAGAAATCTAAAATCTTGAAATCGGACAAAATCTAGAATTCAGGATTTTGTAAAGCTAAAATCTTAAAATCCGCCAAAATCTTAAATTCAGGTTTTTGGAAAGCTAAAATCTTGAAATCCCCCAAAATCTTGAATTCAGGATTTTCGAAAAGTAAAATCTTCAAATCCGCCAAAATCTTGAATTCTGGATTTTGGAAAGCTAAAATCTTGAAATCGGCCATAATCTTGAATTCAGGATTTTGGAAAGCTAAAATCTTCAAATCCGCCAAAATCTTAAATTCTGGATTTTCGAAAGGTAAAATCTTGAAATGCGCCAAAATCTTGAATTCTGGATTTTGGAAAGCTAAGATCTTGAAATTGCCAAATTCTCGAATTCAGGATTTTGGAAAGCTACAATCTTCAAATCGGCCAAAATCTTTAATTCAGGATTTTGGAAGGCGAAAATCTTGGAATCGGCTAAAATCTTGACTTTAGGATTTTGGAAAGCTATAATCTTGAAATCCACCAAAATCTTGAATTTAGGATTTTGCAAATCTGAAATCTTGAAATCTGCCAAGATCTTGAAATCAGAATGATGGAAGGCTTAAAGCTTGAAATTCGCCAAAATCTAGAATTCAGGATTTTGGAAAGCTAAAATCTTAAAATCCGCCAAAATCTTGAATTCAGGATTTTGGAAAGCTAAAATCTTGAAATCCGCCAAAATCTTGAATTCAGGATTTTCGAAAGCTAAAATCTTGAAATTGGCCAAAATCTTGAATTCAGGATTTTGGAAAGCTAAAATCTTGAAATCGGCCATAATCTTGAATTCAGGATTTTGGAAAGCTAAAATCTTGAAATCCGCCAAAATCTTGAATTCAGGATTTTCGAAAGCTAAAATCTTGAAATCCGCCAAAATCTTGAATTCTGGATTTTGGAAAGCTAAGATCTTGAAATCGGCCAAATTCTTGAATTCAGGATTTTGGAAAGCTACAATCTTCAAATCGGCCAAAATCTTTAATTCAGGATTTTGGAAGGCTAAAATCTTGGAATCGGCTAAAATCTTGACTTCAGGATTTTGGAAAGCTATAATCTTGAAATCCACCAAAATCTTGAATTTAGGATTTTGCAAATCTGAAATCTTGAAATCTGCCAAGATCTTGAAATCAGAATGATGGAAGGCTTAAAGCTTGAAATTCGCCAAAATCTAGAATTCAGGATTTTGGAAAGCTAAAATCTTAAAATCCGCCAAAATCTTGAATTCAGGATTTTGGAAAGCTAAAATCTTGAAATCCGCCAAAATCTTGAATTCAGGATTTTCGAAAGCTAAAATCTTGAAATTGGCCAAAATCTTGAATTCAGGATTTTGGAAAGCTAAAATCTTGAAATCGGCCATAATCTTGAATTCAGGATTTTGGAAAGCTAAAATCTTGAAATCCGCCAAAATCTTGAATTCAGGATTTTCGAAAGCTAAAATCTTGAAATCCGCCAAAATCTTGAATTCTGGATTTTGGAAAGCTAAGATCTTGAAATCGGCCAAATTCTTGAATTCAGGATTTTGGAAAGCTACAATCTTCAAATCGGCCAAAATCTTTAATTCAGGATTTTGGAAGGCTAAAATCTTGGAATCGGCTAAAATCTTGACTTCAGGATTTTGGAAAGCTATAATCTTGAAATCGGCCAAAATCTTGAATTTACGATTTTGGAAATCTGAAATCTTGAAATCTGCCAAGATCTTGAAATCAGAATGATGGAAGGCTTCAATCTTAAAATTGGCCAAAATATTGAATTCAGTTTTTTGGAAAGCTAAAATCTCGAAATTGGTCAAAATCTTGAATTTAGAATTTCGGAAAGCTAAAATCTTGAAATCGGTGCAAATCTACAAATTGAGAATTTTGGATGGCTAAAATCTTGAATTCTCCCAAAATCTTGAGTTCACGCTTTTGGAAAGCTAAAATCTTGAAATCGCCCAAAACCTTGATTTCAGGATTCAGGAAAGGTAAGATCTTGAAGTCGACCAAAATCATCAATTCAGGATTTTGGAAAGCTAAAATCTTGAAATTAGCCAAAATCTTGAATTCAGGACTTTGGAAAGCTACAATCTTGAAATCCGCCATAATCTTGAATTCAGGATTTTGGAAAGCTAAAATCTTGAAATCGGCCAAAATCTTGAATTGAGAATTTTGGAAAGCTAAGATCTTAAATTCGGCCAAAATCTTCAATGCAGGATTTTTGAAAGCTAAAACCTTGAAATCTGCCAAAATATTAAATTCCGCCAAAATCATGAATTCAAGATTTTAGAAATCTAAAATCTTAAAATCGGCCAAAATCTTAAATTCAGGATTTTGGAAAGCTAAAATCTTAAAATCCGCCAAAATCATGAATTCAAGATTTTAGAAATCTAAAATCTTGAAATCAGCTAAAATCTTAAATTCAGGATTTTCGTAAGCTAAAATCTTGAAATCTGCCAAAATATTAAATTCCACCAATAACGTGAATTGAGGATTTTGGAAAGCTCAAATCTTGAAATTAGCCAAAATCTTGAATTCAGGATTTTGGAAAGGTGAAATCTTGAAATCGGCCAAAATCTTGATATTAGGATATTGGAAGGCTTATATCTTCAAATTCGCCAAAATCTTGAATTGAGGATTTTGGAAAGCTAAAATATTGAAATCGGCCAAAATCTTGAATTTAGGATTTTGGAAAGGTAAAATCTTGAAATCCGCCAAAATCTTGAATTAAGCATTTTAGAAAGCTAAGATCTTGAAATCGGTCGAAATCTTGAATTCAGGATTTTGGAAAGCTAAAATCTTGAAACCGCCTAAAATCTTGAAATTAGTATTTTGAAAAGATAAAATCTTGAAATCCGCCAAAATCTTGAATTAAGGAATTTTTAAAGCTAAGATCTCTAAATAGGCGATAAACTTGAATTCAGGATTTTGGAAAGCTAAAATCTTGAAATGAGCAAAAATCTTGAATTTAGGATTTTGGAAGGCTAAAGTCTTGAAATCGTCCAACTTCTTGAATTCAGGATTTTGAAAAGCTAAAATCTCGAAATCCGCCAAAATCTTGAATTCTGGATTTTGGAAAGCTAAGATCTTGAAATCGGCCTAAATCTTGAATTCAGGATTTTGGAAAGCTAAAATCTTGAAATTGGCCAAAATGTTGAATTCAGGATTTTGGAAAGCTACAATCTTGAAATCGGCCATAATCTTGAATTCAGGATTTT